CCATAACTTCTAGAAGTATCAGTCCTGCTAGGAACCGTTAACAGCTGAAGACCATAACTTCTAGAAGTATCAGTCCTGCTAGGAACCGTTAACAGCTGAAGACCATAACTTCTAGAAGTATCAGTCCTGCCAGGAAGACAATAGTGTTATTCAATGCAGCTTTACGTGTTTCTCCGACGGAGGATTGGCTTGCTATTATAAGATGTAAGAATGGTTAATTTTGGTGCTACTCTCTGGTAATATAAATAGAAATACTATACTCGTTAAAAACACTTAAAAAACATTGATACCCGAAAACGTACAAAACTAAGTACTGATTTTTTATTTTCCAAACTTCTAAACATTGTTTTACTTTTCAAGGAACCTATTGGAGTTTTCATTAAAAGTGAAAGGAGAAGCACTTATCGTTACTGGTGTTTTAAAAGTGCAAGGAGAAGCACTTATCTTTACTGGTGGTTTAAAAGTGCAAGGAGAAGCACTTATCGTTACTGGTGGTTTAAAAGTGCAAGGAGAAGCATTTATCTTTACTGGTGGTTTAAAAGTGCAAGGAAAAGCACTTATCGTTACTGGTGTTTTTTCAGAGCAAAAGATTCCAAGATGAAGAATTGGAAAAGTCCTCCCAGATCCATAGAATCATACTGAAAACAGAGAAACCTTCTATAACATCATATTGTCCGACTAACCTGGATGTATCATAGTCTGGTAGAACTCTTAAGTGCCTATGATGACTTTCATCTTGTCATTTTGGAACCTAAGGAAATGGGTCTTCTTTTATTCAGCTTTGTTCCCCCAGGTGGGTCAGCAGTAAATTTACTGACTTAAGTGTTTTAGTGTAAAGCAACCCTTCTGCATATCTGTGAATAAACTTCTGGATCTTGGTTATTTTCAACCCTTTAAGTGTAATTACTGTCTGCATACCTGTGAATAAACTTCTGGATCTTGGTTATTTTCAACACCCTTTAAGTGTAATTACTGTCTGCTTATCTGTGAATAAACTTCTGGATCTTGGTTATTTTCAACCCTTTAAGTGTAATTACTGTCTGCTTATCTGTGAATAAACTTCTGGATCTTGGTTATTTTCAACCCTGTCTGCATATCTGTGAATAAACTTCTGGATCTTGGTTATTTTCAACCCTGTCTGCATATCTGTGAATAAA